TCAGGCGTCCATGGGCAGCGTGGCTCCAGACTCCATGGTGAGGAGGATCCACCGCTGCCTGAGCAGCATCGACGCCGGGGTGGCGGCGCCGGCCGGGAAACCCAACCAGTCTGCGGCGTCCGGAGCGGGTCGGGAGCAGCTGGTGGTCTTCCTGGCCGACGTCCTGCGAGGAACGGCGGAGGAGCGAGCCCCTCTGGTGATGGCCATGTCCCAGCCGGCCTCGGGGGCAGCAGCCAGCGGGGGGCAGGTGGTGGAGGTGAGCGGGGCAGAAGGTTTCTGCTCAATACCTGCAAGAAAAATCCTTAAACGTCTGAGTTTCTACAAACAAAAAGGCCTCAGAAGGTGTTCAAGTCTGAGATTTTAAAGAAAGATTCAATTAGAAGTTCAGATCTGAAAGTATTTTGTCTTTTGTATTTTTAAAAAGTGTCTCTTTGTGGTCATTTTGTGTATTTTTGATGCCATTTGTGTCTTTCTTTCAGTAATTTTATGCATTTTTACCTTTTGGTCATTTAGTTTGTATTGATTCTGGGTCTATTTCTGTTCATTTCGTGTCCGTTAATAGTTGTTTAGTGTCTGTTTGTGGTAGTTTTGTGTGTGTCTGTGCTCATTTTGTGTTACTTTTAGTTGTTTAGTGTGTGTGTATAGTGGTTTAGTGTCTGTTCATGGTCATTTTGTGCGACATTTTGGTTGTTTTGTGTCTCTTTGTAGTAGTTTGTGTCATTTTGTGTCCGATTATGGCGGATTATTGTCTGTTTGTAGTAATTTTGTGTTACTTTTTGTTGTTTTGTGTCGCTTTTATAGTCTCTCTTTTATTTGTGTCTGTGTTATTTTTTGTTACTTTTTGCTTGTGTTGTGTTGTTTTATTAACTTGTCATGTGCGTCACTTTGTGGTCACTTTGTGTTACTTTTTGCTTCTTTTCTGCTTGTTAACAGTTGTTTTGTGCAGCTCTCTGGTCATTTCTTGTTAGTTTTGGGGTTTTTTTGTGTCGCTTTGTAGTAATTTG